TCTCTGCGCTGCCCGGAGTCAAGGAGGTGAGAGTAAACACGAAAAAGAACATCGTGGCAGCAGACGCATCTACACCAGAATGGATGAATCGCCTACTAGCAACATCGGAGCTCGCAGGAATACCCGTGACTGCCCGCCTCCCTGCTGACCGTTCACAAAGCAGTGGCGTGGTGCAAGGCGTCGATGGCGACTATACCGACGAAGCCCTCCTGGCCGCCGTGTCGTCCGATGTGCCGGTGATTGCAGCCAGGCGACAAGGGACATCACTAGTCTTGCGGTTCGCCTCTCCCGTGCCTCCCACCCGGGTCCGCCTTTTTCGCATGGTGTTCGAAGTGAGGCCATCCCGACCTCGCCCGCTTCAGTGCCGGCGGTGCGGACGCTATGGGCATATCGCCGTCACTTGCCGAGGACCAGAGCGGTGCCTGCGATGTGGTGGCCACCATGGGAAAGACGCCAACTGCACCAACAAATTAAGATGCCTGCACTGCGGCAGGCCACATTCAGCTGATTCCGCAGACTGTCAGCTCTGGCAAAGAGAGCGGCGCCTGGCCACCATCAAGGCATCAGCTCCCACCTACCTGCCTCACCGCGAGGCTCAAGCAGTCTTGCGGGCAAGCCCTAGTGTAACTGATAGTCCTCAGCTGAAGCAGACCACGGGCAAGAGCTATGCTGCCGCAGTGGGATCACCATCCAAGATGACGGTCAGCTCGACCCATCCAGGCCAGACAGGCGTACAACAACGGGGCCCTTCGGCTGGTCTCAAGCACCCAGACTCTACCACGACTCGTCCACCCGCGAAGGTACCTTCCCAGCCTCGTGTGGACCAGGAAAATGCAAACCTGAGGCTCCTGTTAAGAGCAGTTGCGGACCTGCTGCCTCCTGAAAACCAGCTGCGCTCCATCTGCCTTCAGGCAGGTGGCGCGCACCCTCATAGCAGCCACCATGGCTGACACTCATCCGCATGCTGCAGAGAACCACCGCCGCCGCCGCCCGTGTGTGCTTCAATGGAACGCTCACTCGTTGCGGCGGCGGCATGCAGACCTCTCCTCACATCTCCTGCAGAGCGAGTATGATGTGCTTGCTTTGCAGGAAGTGTACGTAGCAGCGACCGACTTGCGACTTCCCGGATACATCGGTTACCAAAGTATCACGTCGTGTACTCTAGACACGTGCCAGGACGCGCCGTGCATAGCGAGTGCACATCCCCAGGGTCGACCACGTTGTGCAGTGTACGTGCGACGAGAACTACCACATGTGCACATAAACGTGGCTGATGTCACTGGAGGGGCTCTTGAGTGTTGTGCCGTGACGGTGCGGCTTCGCGGTGTGGACACGACAGTGGCCTCTGTGTATGTGCGACCTGGACAGCGGTGGGACGCCTCCATGCTGTTACAGCTCACGGCTAAATTCGGAAGAGACTACCTCATATGTGGGGACATGAATGCTCATCACACCATGTGGGGGAGTAGCACCTGCTCCTCTCGAGGAAGGGATCTGGTGGACGTCATCCATCAACTGGGCCTACAAGTTTTGAACACCGGATCCTTCACTTTCGTCCGCAGAACAGCACGACCGTCATGCTCCGCCATTGACGTCACCTTGGCCAGTGAAGGGGACCGGTACGATTGGGCAGTGGAGCCTGACTCCTGGGGTTCAGACCACCTGCCGATCGTCATCTCACCTGTGGGCGGAAAGATCCCAAGGAGGAGGCTGTGTAGTACGATCGATTGGCGGGCTTTTCGAAGGCAGCTTCGAGACGTCCCAGAGGATCAGGATTTCCTGAATCTGGTAGCAGTGGCAGCGCAGGCGGCAACTATCCAGACCAGGGTGCCAGAGCACCACCCTGTGCCAGACCTCCATCACTTGAACTTACGGGCTGCGAGGCGCAGGGCTGAGAGAAGGTACCTAAAATCCCATGACCCAGCTCAACGTACACTCTTCAATCGTGTGGATGCGGTATGTCGGCGACATGCCAACCGTCGCAGGCGGCAAAGCTGGCAAGGCATCTGCCTCTCCCTGAGTCAGGCAAGAGGTGGCGCAAAAGCATGGCGACTTCTACGATCCCTTGTCACTGGACCAATGGTGCGGCAACCCGTCATTGCGGTGGCCATCTACTTAGGCATTAGTGAAAAAGAACTGGCAGAGCGACTGGCCGATCGCTTCACAGAACTCCCACCAGCCAATCCTTCAGCCCTCATCGCCACGCCTGCTCCCAAGCCACCGCAAGGTCATCACCCTGCCTGGACGGCCAGCCAGATCGCATCTCTGTGTCAGGACCCTATTTTCGAACACGAACTGAACGTTGCTCTAGCCAGAACCAAGCGCCGCAGTTCCCCTGGTGCCGACGGCATCACATACCAGATGCTGCGCAACCTGGATATGGCCTCACGACGACACCTGTTGAGGACTTTTAATGAAATATGGCAGAGCGGCAACCTACCTGAAGCCTGGCTGACCGCTGTTGTGGTGCCGATCCGGAAACCTCGCCGCCCTTGTGCCGCCATTACGTCCTACAGACCCGTTTCTCTCACCTCCGCTGCCTGCAAGCTCATGGAAGCCATAGCACTGGCACGCCTAAATTGGATTGCGGGGGCAAAGGATTTCCTACCAGAACAGCAGACGGGCTTCCGACGCCACCGATGCACAGCAGACTCGATCGCGGACGTCGTCTCTACCTTGGAGGAGGCCAAGCGCAACGGCGAAGTGGCCCTCCTCGTCCTGCTGGATGTACAGAGCGCTTTTGACAGCTTGCCTCACATAGCGATAGAGAGTGCTTTGGACACACTCGGCATCGTGAGCTGCCTACGTACCTTTATCAGTGCCTTTCTGGCAAAACGCACCCTCCGGGTTAGAGTACGACGCGCGCTCAGCGATCCACGGCCAGTGACAGCAGGCGTTCCACAAGGTTCCGTCCTGAGCCCCTTTCTGTTCAACCTGGTGCTAGCGGGGCTGCCGACCGCGATGCCCGCAGACAAGCGTTACCCCACGCAGTGCTCCTTGTACGCAGACGATGTGGCACTGTGGGTTAAGGGGCCTAGGCAAAACTTCACGGCCATAAGGCGTTCCCTGCAGCGCTCCTTGGATGCCGTCGTCTCTTTCTTCAAGGCAATCGGACTGAACGTTTCGCCCACGAAGACGGAGGCACTGCTGGTTCACCCCAGAGCCACTGCGCGGAGGGCCGTCCGAAGGCTTGTGCTAGGTGACCGACCTATCCCGTGGAGCGATGCAGTGACGTACCTGGGGCTAAGGATCGACCACCGCCTTACCTGGATACCAGCCGTTAAGCTCGCCGTCCTCAAGGCCACCAGGGTCGAGACTGCCGTAAGCAAACTGCTCAGCAGGGGCCAAGGGTGCACCTCACGGCTGGCTCTAAGACTCTACGAAGGGGCTGCAACGACAGCGCAAACTTATGCACTGCCCTTGGTGCAGCTAGCGCCACACCGCAAGGAGCAACTGGAGCGGCAACATCGCATGGCAATTCGGCGCTTCATGGGACTTCCCCGTCAGTCACCCATAGCTGCAACCCTGGCGGAGGCCCAGACCTGGCCTCTGTCACTCTTGATGCTACGACAGGCGCTGCATCACGTGGATCGCCTTCACAGGGCCCTCGGGGGCGCTGCCCTCCTTCGGAGACTGCGGAGCCGACCAGCGTCACGGATGGCACAGATCTGCGCTCTCTATGAAGAGCTGGTCCCCGATCCCCCCAGTCCAATCCAACCCCCTCCACCACATCAGCAGCCTCTGGACGTACAATTAACTCTGGACAACCTCAGAAAAAGGCGCACACCGGCATGCGAGCTCCATCAGGCAGCCGTGGCGAAACTTCATGAAAGACTTAAGGGGCAGCTCCTGGTATTCACGGACGGGTCCGTTCGGGACAGCCCCCATTCGGCCGCGGCTGCCTGCGTCATACCATCGACTGGGACAACCATCCGCTGCCGACTTCCCTTTCACGCCAGCTCCACTGCAGCTGAATTGGCCGGCCTTCACTTGGCAGCCGACCACCTTGCTGCCACGTTACCCCAGTTGCCTGTGGCGATTCTGTGCGACTCCCGACCAGCCCTACAAGCGCTGCTCCAACCAGACCAAGCAGGCATAACTGTGGCGTTGCTGCACGCAAAACTGACCGCCATCAAAGAGAGTGGTGTGCGCCTGTCCCTCCACTGGCTTCCCTCGCACGTTGGAATAGCTGGCAACGAGGAGGCTGACGCCGCCGCTAAGGCAGCACACCACTGCGACACGCCAGTCACTAAGGCGGTAACCCAGTCGGATTACTCTCGGCAGCGACTGCGGAAGCTCTTACCAACGGCCCACCCTGACACACGGGTGGCAAGCGGCAAACCTCCACCATCCCTTCCGGAGACCGGCCTGGACAGATGCGAGCGGCGGTTGTTGCTTCGCCTGCGTACTGGCAGCGTCTGGCCTGCGGCACGCATGTATTCCGCGGGTCGCTCTTCATCGCCAGCGTGCCGAAGGTGCGGTGATGACGAAACGCTGCAGCATATTGTTTGCTCCTGCCCTGACCTGACCACTGAGCGTTGCGCACTGGTAAGCCGCTATCGTCTGCTTGGACTACCTGCCGAAACAATGGAAGACATACTTTTTCCCGCGCGCTCGAAGACGAAAGCCCTTCGAGCCTTCCTCGAGTTCTGTGCTTGCGCGGACCTCGCCGCCTTATAGACGGACTCTTTTCACTCGCACTACTGACTGTACTGACAAGACGTTCTCTTGCCATGACATTCACTTTTTCTTTCCCTCCTCTCTTCTTCCTATCATCTTTACTTCCCCTTCCCCGATCCCTAAAGGCGCTGAGCCGTGCCCCCGCGACGGGAGGCAGAAAATAGCGTCCTTTTTGTCTCTTCCTCTTTCATTAATCTCTCTCTCTCTCTCTCTCTCTTCTTCTTTACACCGCTAAATATGTAGCTGCCCCAGTATTTGTTTGGGCTTATTACTGACGCGTTTGGCTAGCTTCTCGGCTCAGCTCACAATACCTTGTGCAGGGTTGTGGTGAGGTACGAGAGCGGTATCCCATGAGCTTCAGGGCCCGGGGCCACCGGCAGGCCAGCTGAGAAGAAGAGACAAAGGGCGCGGACCATCCTTGGACATGCCCTGCCAGCATACAGCGGACCAGCTCCAATAAGAGGCCTGTTCACCTTTCCCCCCCCTGCCTCGTCATGGACGGCGAAGACTCGGGCGGTGCTCAGGCTCCGTTGCGGGCCGGCGAGGAGGCCGACGTGCGCAGTCCCTACATGTCCGAGGTGGACGCGGCCGTGGCCGGATGGCTGAAAGCCCACGAGTGCGGTGCCCTGACCCCCGAAGTGTTGCGCGCGTTCTGGGCGACGCATGTGCCTCCGCTGCTGAGCCCGCCGCTCAACTGCCGCCCCCTGCAGCTAGCCTATGATGAGGCTACGCTGCGCAGGACGCTACTGGACTCGCTCGAGAGGTGAGATGGACAGTGGCAGTTCTCTGAATGCAAAATTAACAGTGTTGCAAAAGTGTGAGCGTTTGGTACTTTTAGAGTTGTACTGCTGTAACATGGTCGCTTTTGATCGAGATCTAGCCTGATTCAGATCAAATTTCTCGATCATGATTGGCTTCCTTATGCAAGTTGCAGAAGCGAGCTTCTGCAACTTGTGTAAGGAAGGATTGTTCATCAATTTGATCGGAATTGGGCTTAATTGAGATCAGTAGTGCTCTGTGTGACACCGGTATTAGACACTCCCAAATCAATTCAGCTGCTAATTAGACCACAAAAGCTATGGGGGCATTAATTATTGGTTTTTTAACTTTTGTTTGCCAATTATGACATGATTTGAGGTGACCTAAATTCATCTGTGGGACATAAATCAGCAACCTTCAAATTAACCATCTGATGCTTTACCAATTGAAGGTCGTGTGTTCGATACCCAATGACAAGAAGGGTGATTTTCTGTTCTTCCTTTCAGCTTGTGCCTTAATTATGACACATCAGTGAAAGATGACATTTAATGCCGCCTATGCTGCCCCCTGCCCAATTGTCCGCTCGGCCCCGCCGCGGTGGTCTAGTGGCTAAGGTACTCGGCTGCTGACCCGCAGGTCGCGGGTTCAAATCCTGGCTGCGGCGGCTGCATTTCAGATGGAGGCGAAAATGTCGTAGGCCTGTGTACTTAGATTCGGGTGCACGTTAAAGAACCCCAGGATGTCAAAATTTCCTAAGCCCTCCACTACGGCGTCTCTCATAATCATATGGTGGTTTTGGGACGTTAAACCCCACAAATCTAATTGTCCGCTCGATTCATTAAGCTCTGTCTAACGTAGACGACGAGCCCTTAAAAATTTGCCCTATTTTAGTACATTAGTGTGACTCTTTTGATGATATTCAGTGTTTAAGTTTTGCATGAAAGCAACATTTTGCATTGCGTTCAGCTGAAACTGCATTCAATGTGAATTCTTTTTTCCGGAAATGACACATGGTCAGTATCACCGCCATTTCACAACTTGTGTTCAGCAAATGTTTTACAGTCAAGGCAATGCGTTGCTTATGCATAGTCACGTAAAGTAATCCTTTTGTCATTACACAGCTCTTCAAGTGCTAATTATTGAGATACCGAAGTTTACTTTGATGACTTGACATGTTATGTTTGCCAGTTTTTTAACGATAGCATTATTTTGCAGATTTTGAAAGATGCATAGAAGTCGTGGGACAGTATATTTACTCATGTTAATTTGCTTAATATATGATTTCATTCAATTTTTTGTTTATCCAATTGTGCTTTTCTCAATCATAATATTCTCTAATCAACCTAAAATAAAAAAAAAAACTTTTTGAACAGAAAAATGTGCAAAAGATACACACTCACGCCTCATTATAACATAGATACATCTGACACGAGAGTTTGTTATATGTGAAAATCTGTATAAAGTGTATTTTAACACTGCATCTATTGCAAGACTACTCTGCATTATTTTGTTGTAACCGATATTTTGTTATGTCACGGTTTGAGTGTAATGGCTAAAGGGTTGACTGAAAAAGCGCATTCATTCCTTGTGCAGGTTCGTTTGCGGGACTTCGGATCCTCGGGGCTACTTCGAAGAGCTCCGTCGGATGGAGTCGCCTCCAACGTTGTGTGGCCGGGTTTTCAAGTCTGGCGAGCCAACGTACTCCTGTCGAGACTGCGGTCTCGACCCTACCTGTGTCCTCTGTGTTGACTGCTTCAAGAGCAGGTGAAGCGATATTTCAGGAATGCTTTTTAGATCTTAGTGGCACAAGTAACGAGTAGCACTCATTTTTATTCCAAGCCATTCTGGTTTTCGAAGTACACTCAAACCTCAATGTAATATACCCGAATAGAACGTAATGTTGGTTATATTAAAGTAAAGAAAGAATAGTTTTGCAATAGGTATAGTGTTAGGAATACACATAACGGATTTTTGGTTATAACGAGCTTATTTTTGTGTAAGATGCAACTTTGTTATAATGAGGTCTGACAGTATTCAGAGGCCTTCTGAAAAGTATAACGGGTACAAGATCAATGTTTGTTTCGAGTGAAGATTTCTTCAGATACATGTGATGTCGGAGCGTAAGTTTGCTTAAGACAGAGAGCGAAGTAACTCAGAATAATTAAGAAGTTTAATTGAATGAGTGAATTGAAAGGACAGATTCTTTTTTTTTGTGAGAAGCTGGAAGTGTTGTGGCAGCTGGCGGAGCGGATACCACGCATACGTTTCTTTCTATGTGGTCTCCGAGATTCACTTTGCTACTGTGACAAAACACTACTTTGCTACTGTGCTACTTTGCTACTACTTTGCTACTGTGACAAAACACTAAGCTATCTCAAGGAATATTCCAAAGCACATGAAACTTTGAAGTGCAGATGCCACTACCGGACATGTAAGCCAAGGATTAGAGTTGCCTCTAATTTTTCATGTAGTTTGTGGAGCATGTAGTTTGGAGCATCAAGAAAAAAAGGCCAACAGTGTTAACAAGATCACCAGCAATGTTCAGGAAAAAGGGGCGAGGCACAATACAAAAAGCGTGATTTTGTACAGTACGGTCCACTGTTAGAGGAAGCTTGCGAGCACATTGCAAGGGTGTCGCGCGGCACTATCTGGCAGTGAGATTTTTAAATGCGGCGCGTGCCCTGTTTCATCTGCTACTTCCCCGCCTATGCACAGAAAAGTGTTGGAAAGTGCTTCCGTATTTTTGCAGTGCAATTGATCTAGCTGTTAATTTGCCTTCTGGTATTAGAGTTTCCAGCAAGCACGAAATATGCATAGTTCATATGCATAGCTGTCACTGTAAAATGCATATTTTTCACATACTTCTCACTGCAACTGGCTGCTTTTGATAACAGATAAGGCTACTGAAGTCAATGCAGCGAACATTCTAAGCTCGCCTTTTCGACCGATATTTAAAGAGGAGGAAGGCCGAATCTGGTATCAGTTTATTTAACAGTGCGAACACGAAAGGCTCGAAGAGCCACGGTTCGCTGGTGCACACTGTGTGCTTAGGCAGAGAAATAGCGGATGACGCAAGGCATGCACCAACTTGATTAACCAATGCGCATGCGCTGCATTTCGAAATCTCGCAAGCAGTTAGTGCTCCGCTGACCTCCGGCCACACATTCGCGTGTGCCCTGTAACAGTGGACCATACTGTACGTGCCGCTGAATGTCTGGACAAATTCATTGATGAGCGATAGACAGATAGTGCTAGTTGCCAGAAAGCATTATACATGACTGTCTAGCACAAAAAAAAAAAAAAAACCTAATTTGAAGATACATTTCAGTCCGGAAATGCAGGCCTCTAGTGACGATTCTTTCGCGATCGTTGGGAAAGTGCTCGGCCGGCATTGGGGAAAGAGCTGGCCGTATGGTGGGGTGTTCTGTGATATGCTGTAAAGCTAGTTCATGCTTCTCTAAAGTATAAACTTGCTTTAGCTGGTTAGATTGTGTGCTGTTTAGATTACTGTAATGAAAAGTTGATTGTAGTTTATACTTGATGGTTCAGCTAAGATGTCCTTGAATTCCTGTGTCAACTCACACTTTGATGCAACATTATCTGAGCATTTTTTTTTTCTGTATGCCTGAATGGCTACTAGTCAAAGCAGGACAGTAAGTACTGTCCTGGGACTTGGACCTTGTCGACTATCTTGTGAAACACACCCATTTATATGCTAAGAACTGCAGTATGCTCGTTGTTGCAAATGCTTGTGCCATGCTGCACTTGGGCATTCGGGAAGAGAAATAATCTGCAAGTTCGGTTTTGTCTACCTGCGCAGTGAGCACAAGAACCACAAGTACAAGATGAGCATGAGCTGCGGTGGCGGCTACTGTGACTGTGGCGACGTTGAAGCGTGGCGCTCGTCCCCGTTTTGTGAGACTCATGGTCGGGCCATCAAGCAGGTGAGAGATCTGTGGAGATGTTAGTTTTTACAGAGTTAAAAGTGAACTTCTCATTGACGCAAAAGTGAAAAAAGAGCAGGAACTAAACAGAGTGTTCTCGTCAACTAACAGTTAAAAACAAAACAAAAAAGGTGCTATTTCAATAAGCAGTAGGTCGGTAGCATACCATTTTTTTTATTTTGTGTTGCAATAGGCATGCATTTTTCACTTGAATCCTTTGTGGTCCGATGGCAGTATTCATATAGGAGATTGCTGTCTCCATCTCTACAAGAATGGATCGGGCGGCTGTGAGCTGTAACGTAGCATAGCCAGAAATTTGTTTGTCGGGATGGCGTTCAATCAAACACTCATGTGTATGTGTTTGTATTTGTACCTGTGTATAGTATGCACACATATCATACGTGTATAAATGCACATGCAAGACTGAAAACATTCGTGGAGAGGTTTTAGTCTAACGCCACTTTTTTTTGCTCGTACAGCCTAATTAACAGTTAACGGGCATGTTCTTACTCTGGAAGACAATTTTTCTTGGCCGTATGGTGGAAGCTACAATTATGAGACACATGCCTGCTAGCGTTCCACATAAATACTAATACCATAGTTTATCGATATTCTTTTTACAGTTGAACCCCGCTACAACGAAACTGATGGGGCGCGGAAAAAATAGTTGAAGCTGAAATTTCGTTGTAGCGAGATCTAAAAAAAAAAATACCATATTTACTCGCATAATCCTCGCTCTTGCATAATTTTCGCACCCCCATATTGCCCAACAAAAGTACGATTTCTTTTTTCCTCGAGTAATTATCGCACCCTCGAAAACTGCCGCAATAACGTCGTCTGCTCGTTTTAGCCACTGATGATGATAGCGCGTGCCACCTGGCGCCATCTCTTAAGCATCAAGTGTACTATTATTGCACAGAGGTTCAATCTAATCCAAGGCAAGCCAAAATGGCAAGTGCACATTGCGGCGTGTTTTGTATGTTGTGTCAGTAACTTTGTCATGTTATGGGGCAATACTGAAGCTGCATGGCTGCTCTTAAGTTGAAAGTGATAGACCATGCACTAAACGACGGCAACAGGGCCACCGGTAGGCCCTTCGGAGTCTAGGAGTTTTGTGTTCGCTACTGGTGACGACAGCTGAAAGCTGCCAAGACCCGTTGGGCCTGTCGTGTGCCTAAAACTGGGATTGATGGTAAACTTTATTTACCGTATTTACTCGCATAATAGGCGCACTTTTTTTTCAGAAAATCCGGCTCGAAGTTAAGGGTGCGCCAATTACGCGGGGTAAAATTTTCGAAAATTTTTTCAACTCGGTTCTCGCGCTTTAAATCTGCACACTTGTCAAGTAAAAGGCGACTTTATCGTTTACCAATTAATTCAGCATAAAACAAACATACCTACGTACCTTTTAATGAACAAGCGAGAGCCGTCAACTGCACACACACACGTAAAATTTATTTACACAAAAGTCGTAGCTGTTCCCCCTTTTCCCTATTCGGAGTCCGAGTCGGAGATCACACATTCATCCTCGCCGAGCGGGGATTCGTTTTCGGTGTCCGAATCATCCGCACCCCACAACATGTCATCCTCACTCGCATCCAGTGCGTTCGAGATACCCGTCTTCTTGAAGCTTTTCCTGACGACTTCGTCGGAGATCGCCTGCCACGCTTCCACGATCCAAGCGCACAGCATTTCCACAGGCGGCCTCTTAATCTTACCACCTGGAGTCAGTTGATGTTGTCCTCCAGCCATCCAGGTGGTGTACAGCCTTCGAACATTGTCCTTGAAAGGTTTATTCAAGGACACGTCCAAAGGCTGCAGTATCGATGTGAGGCCGCCCGGAATCACTGCCACATCTGTGCGCAGCTCCTTTAGCTCATCTCGTACGCGGTCTACTAGGTGCCCACGAAAACTGTCCAGGACAAGCATGGACGGCAACAACAGACCACCCGGCCGCCGACCCCAGAATGTTTTCACCCAATCCACCATGAGTTCCGCGCTCATCCAGCCTTTTTCCTGGACTCTGACGTAGATGCCTTGAGGGAATTTTGCCTTTGGGAGCGTCTTACGTTTAAAAATAACGTAAGGCGGTAGCTTACGCCCATCCGCTGTCACCACCAGCATTACGGTGCATCGTTGTTTATCAGCGCCAGACGTTCTGACGATGACGCTCCGTGCACCTTTCTCCTCCACTGTCGTGTTCCACGGCATATCAAAGCAAAGGAGGGTCTGATCAGCGTTGCCGATCTGGGACAAAATGAAGTCTTTCTGCTGTCGGAGCTTTATAACAAAACTGTGGAAGTCCACCACTTTGTCCTCATATGCTGCGGGCAAGCGCTGGCACAAGGTGGTCCGCCTTCGCAGTGCGAGGCCATGGCGCCGCATGAAACGAGTTGTCCATCCGGAGCTGGCTTTGAACTCTTTTGCTTCGATGCCCTGCGCTCGGGCTATTCTGCGCGCCTCAGTCTGCACAATATCCAACGACACAGCACAGCCGTCTTGTCGTAGCTCCCGTATATGCCGGACCAGTTGCTCTTCGACGTTTGGATACCTGCCGGTCTTGGCACCGCGGAAAGCCCGTCGTGTCTTCTTCGTCGCCTTAAGTTTTTTTTCTTGGTCCCTCCAGTACTGAATACTGGTTTCTCCAACGCCGAAATGCCTGCTTGCAGCCCGGTTGCCGTGCTCCAGCGCGTACTGCACTGCCTTCAGTTTAAACCCAGCCGTGTAGCTCGCGTACTTCCCCATGGTGGAACCAAAGTTCAATACACGACCACAACATACGCACACCGCTTGCAAAATGGCGTTTCTTTCTTTTTCTCTGATGGTGGTGATGGCGATCGAGCCCCCGGCGTTGTACACGTGACCTCCAAAAAGCGCGGCGATTTGGGGGGTATCAGTAATTGATGGAACAGCCGTTTTTTTTTTCGCTCATGGACGCTTTTTTTTTTTTTCAAGTTTTATTTCGACAAACACGTTGGTTAGGTCGTTGCACTTCGAATTTTTTTTTATTTGCTCGTCGATTTGCCTTCTTTTTTTCTTCAGGGTACGGGGACCGCGTTCCAACTGTACCGCTGGGGGGTAGAATCGTTTCTGATCACGGCCAAGTTCGGGGTGCGCCTATTATGCGCGGAATAAAAAAAAATCGAATTTTCCGCGACCAAACTAGGGGTGCGCCTATTATGCGAGTGCGCCGATTATGCGAGTAAATACGGTATATAGAAAGAAACTGCGGACGATTCTCTTAAATAGCCATCAGCCCCATACTGATAATGGGGATGAACAGCCCCCTTTTGTTGATAATGGGGACGAACAGCCTCTCTGATTAGTGACCACACTGGCCAAACGCGAACATAATGATAAGCATCGGAATCGGAAAAGGCATCGTTCCGCAGTTGCACCCAGCAGTTGCGTGACGGAAACCATGAACTGATCGACTGAGCTTCAGCTTCGGATCGTCTGTGGCTCAAAGCAAGCCAGTGGCAAAAGCAGGGCAGTCTCATTGCCATCGCTATTGAGCTATGGCGGCGCCCATGCTTCCTGAATAGCGGCGGTTTCCGGTGGTGCCAACGTGTGTTTTAGACTTCGTTGACGCATTTTCAGGCTTTGAAAATGCATTGAAATGTTGAAGATTGGGCTTACTGCATAAAAATAAGTGTCTGAGCCTGCAATTGCATCGTAAAATTTCGTTGAAGTGGGGCGATCGAAGAAAAAGTGTTCGTTGTGGCGTCAATATTTATGCATCGACTCCTATGGACTGCTGACGGGGAATCATGAATTTTTCGTTGAAGCGGCGTTCGTTGTAGCGGAGTTCGACTGTATATGCCTCACTGAAGTGATTACTGCTATATTTATTATGACCCTCATACAGTTACTGAAGTCATAGGTGAAATACAATTATTGTCCACTTCACAAAAATGCCTACCTTTTCCTTCCATTTTGTAGACAGCGCCACCTTTCCAGCAGGCCTGTTTTCCAAAGTAAACATGGCGTCCTTGACACGAGTGGGTCAGTGTGAGGCCACAAACGTGCTGAGCAGTTCTCCATGAAAAATATACTCGTAATATGATGCTACAATGTGTGCTGAAGAATTGAAACATCTCTCTCATGAACATTTTATGTATGCAGTTTTCTAAACGCATTGACAACGCTAGCAAGCAAAACCGACATCAGCTGCAAGCTGCCATGTTACTTGAAAAGCAACACGAACGTTAGGAAGCCCGGTCTCCGTAACCTTGCTCTCATATAAAGATAAGTCTGCACTGAATGTAGTCGGCCGACGCTCTCTCCTTTCTCCGAAAAAACTGCAGCAGGAGGAGGTTCAGGATGGTAGTGAACCCAACCCGCTGGACCGGCTCCCTCCGGACCTGGTGAGCCGCGTGGAGTTGGTGCTGCGGGCAGTGCTGCTCTATTGCCACCAGATGCTGACGTGGGGCAAGTCCACCGAGCTGCCGCCGGATCTGGCCCAGTCATCCGTGCCTCCCCAGCAGGAGACCTACGTCACCATGCTGTTCAACGACGAGACGCACACCTACGAACAGGTGTGGATGTGGCGGGTATCGTCCTCCTCAGCGTCTGGCGGAATCCTCGTCACGATGCGTGTTGAGGAATCTGCCGTTGTCAAGCAGTGTTTCTTTTTTTACACATTTGACAAGTAATGAGCTTGATCAAGTGCTTCTAATGTGTACCGGTAGTACCACGTCTGTGGTACTGGCATGGGCTCTAAATCTTTTTATTACGACATGATCATGTTTCACTTACAAAAACTGCTAGCACTGCTCGACGCAAGCCATGCCACAGTGTTCAAAAAGCTTCGTGATGGCTTCATGATTTTGAGATACCGTATTTACTCACGTAATAAACGCACTTTTTTTTTTCTAAAAAAATCAGAGCAAAGTTGGGGGTGTGTTTATAATGCGGGGCAAATTTTATGAGAACTTTTTCGGGATGAGAAAAAATTGCGGTATTGCAAAAAAAAAAAAAGTTAGCTTGCTTAGCCTTTAGCAATTGAGATACGCGTACACTGTTTGGAAACAGCTTCTTTGTTTCACTTTACTCAGATTCGGTGGTTGATGGTGCTATCTTCGGCAAGCAGTCCCTGCGTCGCCCGACACGTCATAGTAGTGTTTAGCGGCTATCTTTTCTCGCAATCGTTTAACCGCAACAGTGGTATCTGCTGTGATATCGAGGGGCACCCAGAAGCGTGTGCTATGACACTATGCACTTCGCCAACTTTGCGGCAACCTGCCCCACCGCGGTGGTCTAGTGGCTAAGGTACTCGGCTGCTGACCCGCAGGGCGCGGGTTCGAATCCCGGCTGCGGCGGCTGCATTTCCGATGGAGGCGGAAATGTTGTAGGCCCGTGTACTCAGATTTGGGTGCACGTTAAAGAACCCCAGGTGGTCTAAATTTCCGGAGCCCTCCACTACGGCGTCTCTCATAATCATATAGTGGTTTTGGGACGTTAAACCCCACATGTCAATCAACTTTGCGGCAACCTCGCGCGACGCCGTTGACATTGTAGCAAGTAACGAACATTGCAGCAAGCATCAAAACAAACCGTCGATAACAAGATTAACGACAAAAATGCGTCTTCTGCCTCGCTTCCATAAGAGAAGTTCCTGTACGCGTTAATAAGAGGTAAAGCAAGAATTGGGTATGATACCATGCTGTGGAAATCGTCACAATCTTTTCTGGACAACAAGCGATTTTTTCTGGTTTTCCAAAAACCTGTGACGCGATAACGACGAATCACCCTTCGCGACAGCAAATCCTGTCGTCGTCGCTCGAAAATCGCGTGCATGTCGTTGGGCCTTGAAGTTCCGTATTTATAGGAAGCGATTGTCAGTTGCTGCAGGTTGTTTCATGAAAATGAAATGCTCATCGGCGTCGCCACCGTGTGCTATCGGGCAGTTGTGTGAGAGTCAGAAACCTCTCTGTACTTTGGCTAAAGGAAAGAAATGTCTTTGCGGTGGGCATTTCAAAGTTTCAAAGTTTTGCAGGAAAAAAAAAATACAAAAACTTCCCTGCGGGAGGCAAAGACTAAAGGCTGAATAGCCTGACGAGGTCTTGACCTCCTGATACAGTCTGCATCAGTGCCATATTACACATAATTCACACATCAGTAACATACATATACAAATAAGTGACATTATACATATCTTATTTAGTTACATAGCTTATTTCTACATGATATACATTCAGAATATGTTTTACATAAACAGGAAACAATTTTGGTATCAAACGATTCTGTTTAAGTATCATTGTTCACAGTAAGAAAAAAAATCAACTCAGTATACAAGTATTCCTAAATATAAAAGCCTATGGATCTACTATGTCTTTAGTCAAAAGAAGAAAGGATTTATGATGACATTTAAATTGTTTAGTTTTCAGAGTAAAGTCTATATTCGATTCGTGAAGGTTTAGCAATTGTATGATCTTATAATCAATAGCCTGCTTGCCATAGTTCGTGCGTGTTTTCTTAGTTTTGCGGGTAGAATTTCTGAAGCCATATGTTGTTGATACAGTGCGTGGAAAGGAATCCTGTAGTTTGTTTGTGGATGTGTTGCATCAGTTTAAGATTATATACTTTCCTAGCAGATAGAATTCCATGTTTAAGAAAAAGCGGCTGAGTGTCTAAGTCCTTGGGGTGACCTTTATATTTTTCTATTACACGGAGCGCGCGCTTTTGCAAGATTAATATTCGATCGTAATTGGTCTTAGTTGTTGTTCCCCATACAAGCATTCCGTATAGAAGTTTGGAGTAAAACATGCTATAATATAATGATTTACATAACCATGAGGGGAGGAGGAAAGCAATTTTACTCAAGCACCCTACAGAACGAGCTAGATCTACCAAGAGACTATTTACGTGCGGTGTCCATGTTAAGTGCTCATGAAACCAGACTCCAAGGAATTTTTGTGTGCTGACTTGTTCGAGTCGCTGATTGTCAAACAAGATTACTATATTATCACTGATGTGCTTGTTAATGGGCCTGAACATAATAAATTTTGTTTTTTGTGTGTTTATTTTAGTTTGTTTTTTGTTAGCCAGCCTGAAAGTTTCGAGAGATATACATTTGTCGAAGCTTCTACTTCCTGAATGGTGGAGCCTGTGAAAAATATACTTGTGTCGTCAGCGAACATTTTAATTTCGGGTGTATACTGAACCTCTGTAATATCATTGATATATAAAAGGAAAAGCACGGGGCCTAAAATGGACCCCTGCGGAACTCCTTTCTTTACGCTTAAATAGTCTGACTTTTTACTGTCTATGCTAACAAATTGTTGTCTGGATGATAAATAGCTTTTAAATAAATCAGAGACTATTCCACGAATTCCATAGCGGCTTAATTTCAACAGTAAGATATTATGGTCAACAGAATCGAACGCTTTACGCAAGTCAAGGAAGACACCTAACGTGAACATTTTATTTTCAATATTTTCTATTATGCGGCTTTTTACATCAATTAGTGCCTCTTCCGTGGTTTTATTTTTGCGAAAACCATATTGATGCGGTGATAAGATATTGTACTTCTCAAGATATTTCATAAGGCGCGTATTTATACATTTTTCATAAATTTTTGAGAATACAGGTAATACGGATATCGGACGATAGTTTGTTAATTCAGTAGTGTTGCCACCTTTATGAATGGGTGTAACTTTGGCCACCTTAAGTTTTGTTGGAAAGATTCCAATAAGAAAGGAATAATTTACCAGATATGCTGAATACGGGGCTAAGTATAGATGCGACAGCCTTAACTGGAGCCACCCTTACGTCATCATAACCACTCGCAACGTTTGTCTTTAGTTCTTTTATATATCGGTAGACTTCCTCGGGTAATACTTCGTGTAGTACGAGAGAGTTCATGCAACTACTTGTTTCATCTTCATATTGTGTTGAGTCTTCATCACAAACAGCCACATTTACAAAGTATTGGTTAATTGCGTTCGCCAGTTCCTTACCCTCCAGAATGATATTGTTGACTTTTACTTGTTTAGGTGTATTTGACGTTGCTGTTCTCCCAGTTAAGGAAATAACTTGTTTCCATATTTTTGCCGGTTCTGATTTTATACGTGAGAAGGTGGCTTCATAATAGGCAAGTTTAGCCTTCCTAGTGTCACTATTTAGTTTGTTGCGGAATCGCTTGAACTCACGCAATATTGCAATATCTCTAGTAGCAAGAAACCTGTGAAAAAGCGCGTTTTTCTGCTTGATTCGTTTCAGGAGGTCACTGTTTATCCATGGTTTTCTGTTCTTACCCTTTCGTGTTCTGATCTGTTGTATCGGGAAAGCAATATCGTAGCACTCAAGGAAAATAGCTAGGAAAGTATTATATGCGCTATCTGGATTGCATTGCACATACACAGGTGACCAGTCAGCACGTTCAATTAATTCGGTAAACTTAAGCAGTGATTTGTCATCAATATATCTATACCGCGCGATATTTGGACATTTAATTTTATGCTGCAGGTTTTGTGTAGAAATGTAGATAGGTAGGTGGTCACTTAGGTCTGAGCACAGTATGCCCGAGGTGTAATCGCAGCTATTTAGGCTTGTTATACAGACGTCAAGTGACGTGGAACTATTGTGAGTAATACGGGTTGGATATATAATGGCATTCCGACATCCATATGATGCTACAAGGTTTTTCAAGTCAAGCGCGTACAGCTCTTCACTCATCATATTAATATTTACATCACCCATGATAAAATATGGTTTTTTTATCTCATTAAAACAATGCATGAGGTTTTCCATATGACTGAGAAAATGCCTCTTATATCCAGTTGGGGGTCTATACACCACGGCAAGTACAAAAGAATTTGTTTCTATTGCTAGGCACTCTATGTCACCATTACTCACAGAAAGATCATCAAGCATTTGAAAACAATATCGCTGCCGCAAGTATATAGCCAACCCTCCACCTCTTCCTGCGCGATCCAAGCGTGCTATATTATAGTTAGTGAACTGAGGAGACATGTCAGTATTACACAGCCATGTCTCTGTAAACAATATTGCATCGATGTCCACGTGAAGAGAACTCATAAAGACATCAAATGCTTCATGCTTGTTCCTAATACTTCTTATATTTTGATGTAGTATGGTAAAGGAGGCATCATTAATTATTGGTATTGTTGTTTCTATAGTAGACATGGTTCTCTTCTCCTTCCCTTCCCCTTTCTTTACTTCAGGCAATATTTCCAGTGGCACCGAGTTTCTTCCTTTGTTGGCGGCAATGGCGCATGCCAGGAGATGAATTAGTAGCTGGTGGTTAACGCGTAGTACATTAGTGCGTAGTTACGCCGTCGTCCCTGGCAGGTACGTGTCATCGGGGTTTCACTGTAGACGTTGTTTCTCCACTGGTGTCAGACAGAATTTAATTTCCGTTTCTTTGCCTAGATGCCTACTGACAGCTGCAACATAGCATGGCTATAGGTCTCCACTTCAAATTCCATATTTGAAATGTACTCCAGGATTCACCTTAAGGGGGGACACTGTACTTGAGACGAAATGTCAGATATTTTCATGCGTGTATAAAGAA